AACGGATTTGGTTATCCTGGCCCGAGACATAAGCGTACGCGTTGGCCGTCTGTCACCCGATAAGACCCACCCTGGTGTCCATTACAGCCTTGATAGCTGTTGTTCAGATAATGGAGATAGACTTCTCAGCATATGCTCAGAACACGGTCTGTCTAGCAAGAACTTGAGACAATCAGAGCGTCGCCTCGCCACTTGGCGTAACCCCTCTTCGGCACAGGTGTGGAGTCAGATTGATCATATAGCTATTCGCTATAGGTGGAGAGGATGTATGAAAGTCTGCTGTTCGTATTGGTCTACCTATTTGGACTCCGAACACGCTGTGGTTTGTGCCAAGTTGTCTATGCGATTTGGTGGCCGCAAAAAATGAGATACAAACAGCTTTACGTCACCAGGCTTTCTGACCCGACCATGCTAGCCGACTACCAAAACTAGTTGGTCGCAAGGCTAACCACTACCCCACCATGAAACAGATCAACACTAGGCAAACATTCAAAACGGAATGCAATGAACTGGTTTACACAGTTCTGGCCTGACCCATCGAGTTGTAAAACACTGTCTCCTCCAACTGTCTCAAACTTATTGACGCGCGTCAGGTAATCCCGGCAGACAGCGAGTATAGTTAACAGCGCCTTTCTCTGAAGCGTGAACTCGCGGAGTATGAGAGACGAACGAGAAGCCTGGTGGGCGCTACGTGCAAATGTGATGGAATCAGCAGCTAGGTGTGAAAACACCCGGCAACTATTCCAAAAGATCAGTGCTATGGGCTTTGGTGAAACTATCTTCGAAGTAGACGGCACGCTAATATGCAGTCTTCACCGACGCTTGAAACGCTGGGCTGAGCACTTCAAATCGCAGTTCAACCAGTCCCTCCGCGTTGGCTGCCCCAAGTAGTTCTCTTGAGGATGCGCCCTGGTCATCGTCCATGGGACCGCCCTTAGTAGCGGAGATCCGAAAACGCCACAAGGCAGCTTGATCAGACGACCTGCCACCCCCACTCTTCAAAGATGGTGGAGAAGGTCTCGTGAGAGGGAGCTTGTGAGACTGTTTTGGAAGATCTGTCTAACCAAACCTGTACCACACACACGGGAGAATCGCTTTTTACACCCATCTGCAACAAGGAATGTCCCAACGCCTGTTCCAAAAACAGGATCATAATTCTGATTCCAACAGCATCGAAGATTCCAGCGTCCGTTTTATTACGCAGACTAAGTCTATTTCGTGAAAGGTAAATTTACTATGAGCGAACCGGATTTCGTGCACACCGTGGTTGCATAGATCAAATATTCACCCTTCATCAGCTACTAGAACACCGCCACACATACAGACGACAAACCATCGTCGTGGTTTTGGATATCAGAGCGAACTTCGACTCCGTCGATCGCCCCACACTGTGGAACTGTGTGTGGAGATGCGGAGTATCCGAGAAATGTTCTACTTCTAAAAGCACTCCACCGACAGACCTCAGGGAAGGTTGGGGCCTAGGATGAACTTTCACCCTAATTTCCTGTCACCACTGGGGTACGACAGGACTTCCCTATCTCTCCGTTCCTCCTCAAATTTGCCATAGATTTTCTACAAAACGCATTACATAACGTAACGAACGCTGATTTCGAGTTTCTTCTTGGAGACAGAGTCGTAGACTTACAGTATTCCTATGAAGTTGCCTTACTCGGCGACAACTCACCAACGATTCAAGAGCCCTAGTATCGTTTTGCAAATGAGGTTACTCGTTATGGTATGTTCTCTGCACCTTCAAAGTGCAAAGTGTTGTTGCAAGATTGGCAGGAACCCGTTCCCGCACTTCCGTTGGGTAATGGCACCCTGGAAGTAGTCAAAAGCTTTGTCTACCTCGGGAGTTGCATGACGGCAGGCGGATCTGTGGGCGAAGAGATCGCTCAACGCATGACCAAAGCCAGATTATCGTTTGCATCCCTGGTGGAGGTGTGACATATCCCTTTCACTGGAAGGGCGTGTGTATTGCACAGCGGTACACACTACGTCTGTGAAACCTGGCCACTCCAAACGAACCATGTTCAACGACTATCAGTCTTTGACAACCGTTGTCTGCGCAAGATCGCCCGCGTACGTTGGGAGCATCGTGGGAATACCGATGAGGTTAGACAATGCGTGTTGTGATAAGATGAAATGCATCTCTTTTGTGTGCGATCCCAAAAATAACCAAAATAAACTCAAAATGGCGCGAAGTAAACAAACAAAAAAATGTTTATTCCCAAAGTTGTCTGCTTTTTGTTTTTCCCCTTTCCGTTTCAATAATTTGCGTTGAACCTATGGTCATTTTGGCACCGTATCCGCAAAGATTAATGTCAAATATAAATACATACACTTGCGGATTGGTCTAGTTCAGTACCTTAAGAATTGATTATCATAGTTCAAAACTCATCACTAACTGGATCCATGATTTGTTGTTAGACTTAATTGTTAACGCTATTTTTCTCTATTGATTCTCGACCCATGTTTTCCGATAGGTGCGCATCAAGCACGCGAATCCACCACCTTACCACAGTTTGTTCTGGTATGGACATAAAACTTTGATCTCTTTGAGCTCATAATTGCTTAAGATATTTTTATTTTCTATTGACTCATTAGTTGGCTTCAAATCTATCACTTGAGAGGGGTTTAGTATTTTATGAGGTTTGTGTCTTCATTCACTCTTCAGTCTTCCATATCTCCCTTTGTCCGTTACTGTAGCTAAACCGTTGCTCACTGAATTTTCATTAAGTTCTCGTATGTAACACTTCGTCAGTTAAAAACTAGTCGCTCTAGACAATCACTTGTTTGGTTGTGTTGGCTATTCTGTCTGATTGCAATGATACCTCTCTGTTTGATTCATGCAGACGCAGCTGCAAGATAGTCAAAACCGAACCAGAGCCAGTCAACAACGTGCGCTTGCCAGTATAGCCAATTCGGAAAGGATCGGTGTGGAAACAGCTGCCGAGTTACTTGAGCAAGGAGAAAAGCTTTCAAATGCGGAACGACGTCTGGATGACATCAGTCATATGCAAAAAGACAGCCAGCGACAAATCAACACATTATCAAGCGTGTTTGGTGGAATCAAAAACTTCTTTTCCAGAAAGTAAGACTTCAAAAAGATTCTCACTCGCTTACCATACAAAGGTTGTTGATTCTGCGCTTAACCATGTGTTTTCAAGTTGAAAGCAAGACGGTAACTTGGGGTGTTTCCCGTTTGTGCTCTTCTTGAAAAGAGATGATTAAAAGTTAAAAATACGACACTCGAGGTTAGTCACTTGGACTTGGTGGCTAGGCGCGGATGTACGGAACCTACCAAGAGAAACAAGTGGGAGAGGACAAAAAGAAAGAAAGTGGTATCGGTGGAGTAAGGGAAAGAAAGTGACTGTTCGAAGGTAAGGTAGTGACTGTAAGTTTCATTATAGGAATGGGTCGTTGATGAGATAGAAAGCTTCAGATGGAACCCGATCAAGAAGAGACATGAAGGCAGGCGAAGCTCCCCACACATGTCCACAGTATTCAAGTGTAGGGTGAATCTGAACTTTTTAAAGTCATAGTGCTTTTGGATAAAACTAAAGGAAGGGACACAGACTAAAAAATGATATACAGAATCATTATTGCCGTTCCAGTGGCGGATGTCAGTGAATGCAAGTGTCGAGTTAGCGCGCAAGAGTAGAAACCGTGTTTACTGTGTTGTCCATCTTGAAATGTTAAGTGCAACCGGCAACCTGTCGAGCCACATAAGGTACCGACTGCTAGACGGTAATACCGACCGGGACAACGTTAGAAATGTCTACTGCTAGTGGCTACTGGCACCTGTTCTAAACCTTGGTGATCCAGACATGGTATAGTGGCCTCCGAAAGCTTCAGTATGGTCGGGGATGGGTGTCTCGGGTTGCGTCTGGTCACCCACCTTTCAAAATGCTTCTGTAGAACCAAACGTTTCAAATAGCTCCTTCTAAGGAAGCCCTACTCACTGCCCTCGTGGTGGAGGTGTTTCCTCACCAAAGTGAGAGAACGAAAAGCCAAAATCCGGGGCTATGACCGGGTCGGCGAACCACTGGCAGTTCACCTATGGGAGTTGGCTAAAAAACTTGGTTCGAACCCGCCCAAGAAGACTCGCATAAATCACTCACACACTTTCTTGTTCGTTGTAGTGGTCGCCAGCTTGATTGGGCATCTATGTGGATTGGGAACCTCGGATGTTTGACCCCGGTCAAGGGGCGAATTAACCGATGGACCGGACATTGGCCTCCAACGGATTGCGGTTTTCACATTCTGCCCCGCTGCGTTGGGGGTCAGGCTTCGGTTTTCCGAAGGCTCTGGTTGTGAATTGCCTAAGAAAATTCACCTGATTTGCCTTGGGCAACCTAGCAGCATCACACCCTCGAGCAAATCATAGATTTTCCTTTTTATACAGATGGTTGTACCGCGATTTGTTAGGCTTATAGTCTGATCTCAATAATGTGCGAAACTGTAAATGGCGGCGTTTTATCTAGTAAACCGTTCGCGGTATGCTGTTGTTGCACTTCTCGGATGTTGAGATTGAAGAAGTTATTCTTCTTGATTTCCATTTCTAGTCTGTAGTCACTTGAAACATCATCTTGCAGGCAGCGCATCAGCGTTAGTAGCGGTCTAGTGAGTACCGATAGCCGAGATTGTTCGTGTTTCAGGATGCTCAGAGGATCCTCAACCTCGAGTGAGCCAGTGAGTGGATCAGTTAGTTTAGTTTTAAAAGACTAGATGCATCGGCTTTTGCCGTAATACTATCTTAAGGTTTATGTCGTTTTTAATGAAACGTTCGTGACGAGCCCGGAATTCACCAAGTCATGGTGATGCTGCTGCTGCTTTTCTGCAACCGTTTGTGTATTGGTGCACGCCGTAGCGTATTCACAGTTAACCTCCTTCCATTGAAGTATTGCCTTATCCGTAATCCCGGGGACGTGCCTGGCAGCATTCAGTTTTGACTATCTTGTTCGGGGCCCTCAGGAGTAAACTATTATAGCTGGGTGTCATTCGAAGGAAAGAAATACATTTTGAGCGTGAAGAAGGTAAGTTGTAACAGAGCTGTGCTGCACTCAGTGAAAAGCCATTTCCCTTTCATCGCTCACCTCGAGCTTTGTGTATTTGGCGTGCCCATTTTCACGATCTAATTCTGCTGGCGAATCCTATTTAGACACAGGTCGAGTTTTAATAACTGCCCAGTTTTATTCGGTTCATTCAGTTCGATTTTTTAGCTTCTGTAAAATCGACTTTCCTCAACTTAAGTAATAAAAATGGATGATTTTACCAAGCAAACGAATGATAAAAGTTCTTCTGGTTACGATCTCCCTTCTGCCTGGTCATTTCGTTTGGCATCTATTTTTGAATCTTCTCAGACATACCAGTTATAACCGAGCATTCAGGGACTGTTATGATAGCTTTTCCTACAGTCTTTGGTCGACAAAAACTGAACGGAATTTTTATGATTTTTATAAAGTGTATGGTACTACGATTTGTTTGGCACACTACCTAGATTCAGACATGTAATACGACCAGGAATTCGATACTGCTTAAAGACTTGAAACTGCGTAAGAAGCCGATCAATATAACTACCACCAGGCCAGAATCTGACTTTCTTTTCACGGATATTCGTATCTCTTATTGGCGTCAGACGTCGAAGTATGCCAGAGGCTTGATGGTGACGATTGGAATCAAACTGATCCAGCGACGGTTCGCGCAGTCATTTCGAGGTCGTTTCTTGAACACTGGCGTGTGTAGAATGTCAATGGGCCAACGCGCAACGGCGGACCGCGATGGTGAGCTCAACAGGGAAGAAATAAGTAAACCAAAACCTCGAGGCTCTGATTGATAGGTCTAATATGGATGCGTCCGGTGCACTTTCCAGATGAGCATTTCTAAGTTTAGGCTCAAGTCAACAAGACCTCAAACCCGGCAATGAAACACGGATCCAGGTATTACTGATTTTTGTTTGATACTTCCTTGGGAAAGGATACTCATCAAGAAGGAAATAATCAAGCAAAGTGTGAAAGCGGCCAATGTGACGTGAGGACGAAGTGATGTTCCCAACCAATGAAATTGATCGTACTAGTGAGAGTAAGATTCCTGTTTGGACTCTCTGATAACCGCCAAACCTGCGATAAGATTGACGGTATCTAGAATTGATGTATATAATAGCCTGCATGTACGTGTTCACTAACTCAATGCATTTATTTTGTCGTTTGTGTAATATTTCAGATGTTTCGTCTTTATGATGCTCGCAGTTTGTCGCTTGGTTCTCTACCTACAACACTCAACAATAGGGCATTGTTGCACAGGTGCAGCACTGATGGTACCTCCAAAAACGGCTTGCATGAAAGTATAACTTAAAGCCAAATGGCATGCAGATCAAAGTGGTGCAGCAATGAGTTACTTGACTATGGCCTGTACTCTGTATCCACGGAAGTGTGTAGTAGCTATAATAATAGGGCCACTGCTACTACTGCTACTGTTATAATTCCAGAAGACAGTTGGTGGTTTGAGGAGACTTGTTTATTACGAGCCAGAGTTAGGGTATGGATAATTCGACTTACAGATAACAAGATATCTCATTTGGGGCATGTCATCGCAATCCCCGATATCACACAGGATAATGAATGGAACAAGCCGTAGGTATCTTTTCTAACAGCAGTTCGCTCTAAGAGGTCTTGTTCATTTCTGACCGTTGAAAGTAACCGCCAACCGCATCTTTGGCATACTACTCACATTTGTGAGTACCACCTCAAGGCTACCATTAAATGATAATAATATTTTAACTTTCCGTCACTTTTATGAATTCTGCAAAGTATTTTATTGCCATTTGTAAGGTCATTTTCTTTGTATATCATAGATTTAGATCCTCTACACTTTGTTTTTATTCATCCAGACAGTCAGCCCCTGCCGTGTGCAACGAGGTTACTGGTATGCATCCCTGCCCATCGGACTCAGCTCGTTCTACATCCGGTTTGCGCAATTCCGTTTATTCCCAACCTACATGGGGTAGCAATTTACCGCCACAACAAGAGGTCAGTTTAACATCTTTCAGCGCAACTCACTGCCTATTTACCTTACACCATCTTAATTTTTTAAGATGTTGGCGGTCAAGTGGTTTGAATCACAGTCACCGATGTGCTTTGAGTCCTAGAGTGCGAGGTTCAAACACCACCATCTTCAGATACTTTTGGTAGTTGGCGGATTCACTTTCGTCCGGCTGAGCACCACACCGAAACCAGTGGGGCCTTAAGTTTTGTGTCGTATTTCAGGAGCAAACGGCAGGTTTTTGGTGACTGGGGTTCACTCAGCCTGCTGTTCATCATAAAAGGTTTTGCAATAAAAATTGCATTACAAGCCCAGCAGCGATCAATTGAGGTCGCCTTTTTCTGTCACTGTTTGCTACTGACGATAGGCATCTTTGTTGAGTTCATACTAAAATGGCGCCGTGATTTTGAGTGTTTACTGTGTAATACAGATTGGATGAAAAAGTACATTTCCCTTGTAGCTGATCCGAAAGTGATTCCTCGGTTCTCACTTACACCATCAGTTAGTGACATGCTGGCAATTAATTACCTGTCCCTGTATGAATTTCCTAAGCACCTGAGATTCATCGATCGTCTGGCAGAGGATATCCAGATCGTCCGAAATATGAACAACCGTTCAGCTAGTCATGAGTCTGCGACAGTCATCAGCGGACTGGCAATCGACTTTCCCCAAGCACGACGAGATTGCATATTGACGTGGTGTGATGTCTTGCCTGCCTCCATGACTCTGCGAGCTACTCAGGATGGTTTTTCACAGCCGCAGATCCAATCATGCCTGAAAGGTGAAGAAGTAGAGATCAGACAAAGCTGCCTCACAAAGCCAACTACTTGGGCATCCCCTGGCTTTCTTCGTCCATTCACATTCGCGCCTAGAGAGTTCTCCCTAGCAAATAAACACGTTTAGTGGAGGTTTGCCGGTCAAAACACCCGCTAGATGGACGTAGAGTTATAGTTCCACATAGCGGTGCACAGTGGAGGATCATTGTTTATTGAGGATTACAGATGGGATATCACTAATTTGGTGTACATAACACATCAGAAACAAACCATCGCAGTTCCTAGCAGCACAACAAGTAACGGATGTAGCAATCGATAGCTGTTCTTTGAGACCCAGCAATTTGCCCTAGGCGATCTTGTTAATTTTTGATCGTCC